CTGCTGAACTTAATAGTGCTGGGTCCTTGCTCAGCGCTGTCACATGGCTTCTTCAATGTCTTAAAGCACTGGAAGCCACCATGCAGTAGAGCCAAGGCCTCTTTTAGCCAAGCACCATTCCTTCTAAGGATTCGAGAGCCTCAGTCAGAAGTACCATTAGGTTTCATTTCCATTTTTATTTTTGCTGGAGAAACATCAGCTCTCCTGGGGATTGAGTGCAGTTGTTCTTGGGGTTGCTGAGCTACCAATTGTGGATGAGTGCCTGGGGACCTGGCACATCAACTGTCAGGGACACCATCATCACTATTAGGCAGACACTGCAGTTGGTGGGGACTATGTAACTATAATAGACCTTTTTTGGGGAGATTATTACTTCTTTGACACATTTCCTTTGCTATTTTAAATAAAAACTCTGAAAAAGTTGCCTCTTTTTGCATTTTTTTTCCTGCTTTGTGTTTAATTTCAGAGTATCTGCCTTAAGTTCCAGTAGATATATCTGGCCTTATTTCAGTATACATATTATTTTTATTAAGATTTACTTTGCAGATTTAAAGGCTGAAGACAGAATTTTAGATGACAAATTAACATATTTATTGGTATTGTTGGTGAGTAAGCAAAGGGGAAAAAGTTCTCAGTCCTGTTCGATGAAAAGCCTTGATTTCCCTTAAAACAAAGCAAAACAAAACAAAACAAAAACCACTATGCAAGATTTTCCAACTTATTAGAGAATGTGACAATGCAGAAGAAACCTCTATAAGGGAGTCAAAGTAAGGAAAGCTAGCAAAGAAATATAGTACTTTCCCAGTTTGTTAAGATTTACATGATATTTTTGTTTTTCCTCTCTTTTTAATTTTATTTATTTATTTATTTATTTTTGAGTTTTTTTTTTTTTGCTACAGGGCATCTGTGCTCACCAGAAAGAAAAAGAAAGCAAGAAATCACCCCTCTGAGGGGATGGCCACACCACAATCCCTTTTCTTCCATTCTCCTCTCAGGATCTTGGGCACACATGCACATTCACCTAGACTGAGTTTAAGCCACCAAGTCCAGGACTCGAACTGCAGTTGACTACATGGGAGTCCAGTGACATAGCCATTACACCAACTGCTGGTCCCCGTGATATTTTTCTTCTTCTTATCTTGAGGTCAAATGTTGTCATTATATTAGTCTTTCTAGGTTTCTTCCTGGATTATTTCACTAAGATGGAAACTTTAAAAAGAATTATTTATTTAATTTAATTTTTTATTATTATATTTTTAATTTGCTATAGGGCACATGCGAACACCAGAGAGAGAGAAAGTGAGAAAGCAAGCCTCCAGGTCCAGGTCTTGAACTGCCGTTGGCCATGTGGGAGTCCAGATCCCCACCACCATGCCACTTGCTGGCCCCAAAGATGGAAACATTTTCAATAAAGATGTGTAAAGGTTTTTCTGTGCTGAAGTGTTTCATTTCTTATCAAATTAATCCTCCTTAGTCCTGAGTCCCATGTCAGACAGGGTCATTAGAAGGAGCTTACGCCAGTCTTGTTGATTTTGCAAACTGATCTGTTCAGAAGATAAAGTCAGTCCCTGCTGTGGCCGCAGTCCAGTTCTCCCAAGTAGAACATGCTTGTGGCCAGCGGGCTAGGTTTGAGGAGAGGAGGCTCTTCCTGTTATTCATGTTACATGAGAAACTGTAACATGATGCTCAGTGTCCAGCCATGTTCTACCATTAGCATTTCTGCAGGTTCTGAAAATCCATGAGTCAGGACCCAGGTGTTTGTGACATTATGCGGGAACCATACCCAAAAGAAGTCATTTCCTAGGGTCAGACATCACAATGAAATGGAAATTCAGGAAGCCAGCCAGTCCCTCCAAGACCAGTCCTTGCAGTGAGTGATAGTCTGGAGTGGTCTCCTCTTCTTGGTGGTTTTCTGAGTTGCTAAGGGCCTCTAAGCACACTGCCTTTGTTGTCTTCATTGGAGTAGTTGTTTTTAAATTCTCCTCCTTGTTCTGCTTGTATGCCTTATTTCCAGATATGGAGACAATAGCACACCCAATTATCTAGCTCGATTTAGGTTATCAGCACCATTATCCTTTTTACTTATTCTCTAGCTAGATCATAACCTAGGAAAAAGATAGAGAAGGAAAGGGGTTTCAGTTTCTTGTTTTTCCCCTCCAGCTTTAGTGAGACTCAGTTATAAGGAAAGATCTAGTACAGATGTTGTTTTCCTTACCTATCCTCTTTTGAGGTAGAAGGATGAAAAACCCAATCTGCAGTGTGAAGAGCTTGGTGCTGTTTGGCACTTTATAAGGCCGAGTCATGAATCTGGTCATTTCCAGATGAACTAGAGTAATGAAGGAGATGAGTAAGTGGTAACATTTGGTAGACATTGAGAAAACGAAGTCATGTCACCAAGGGACTCAAATTCTCTACCATAAAGTTGCCCTCATCTCTAAGTGGAAGTTTGAAGACCTGTTCTAAAGTTTAAACATGAATTGCTTGAAATCAGAAACTATAGGTAACTTAATTTTTATTAACTTACAAATTCACTTGTGATGTGTACAGGAGAGAGTCCTCAGAAGGTTCATGGAAAAATGTGTAATATGAAAACAGCTATGCATAGATTTCAAAACTTTTTGCACCAAAATAAACTTGTTATGTAATTCTACTTTCCATGAATGTTTTGAAGTCCCTTCATGTGAGATGCCCAATGATTCCTTGTTAAATTGAATTAATTTTGAAAACTCTTTGTCCATTGCTCCTAAATATTGGTTTTGATCATTGTAAATGGATTATTATGGAGTCTCTCTTATTGAGCTTAAGATATGATGGTCCTAAGATGTTTTTTCTAAATTTTTGAAACATCCATACTGGAGTTCTTAATCAGTTTCTCAATTTTTCTATGACTATGGCTGCTATGGGAAAGGTTTTATTTGGTGTATATTTACATTTTTTTATTTAATTATAAATTGACAATTTATGATAGAATATACTTATAGGGTACAGATATAATATCAGGATTTTAAAAAACACAGTGAAGTAAATGAAGCTAATTAACATATCCATTTCCTCAAATGCTTATTATTTATGATAAAAATGTTTAAATTTACTCTCAGCAATTTTGAAATGCATAATACACTTCCTTAACTATATTCATGACATTATGCGATTAAAAATCTGAAAACCAACCAACCAACCATTCCTCCTGTTTAACTGAGATACTGTACCTTTTGACTGTCATTGGCCCATTTCCCACCTCCTAGCCTCTGAAAGCACCATTCTACTATCTGCTTCTAGGAGTTCTGCTGTTTTAGATGCACATATAATCAAGGACATTTGGCATTTGTCTTTCTGTGCATTACTTATTTCACTTAGCTTAATATTCTCCATTTCTATCCGTGCTGTTTCAAATGACAGAATTTCCACCGTTCTTAGTGCTGACTAGTATCCCATGTTGTGCATGTTCCTCCTTTCCTGTGTTCCTTCATCTGTTGATGAGTACTTAGGCTGACTCTACTTCTTGGCTATCGTTGAGTGGTACTGCAAGGACACGGGAGTGCAAACGTCTCTTTGACAAACTGATTTCAAATCTTTTGTGTAAATATCCAGAAGTTGGATTGTTAGATCATATGGCGACTCTGATTTTTAAGTTTTTGAGGAAACTCCATAGTTTTTCATGTCTATACTAATTTACATTCCCACCAACAATGTACAAGTGTTCCCTTTCACCAAATCTTTGTCAACACTTACCTTTCATCCTTTTTATAATTGCTGTTCAGACAGATATGAAATGATAGCTCATTGTGGTTTTAATTTGCATTTCCCTAGTGATAAGTGATGCTGGGCATTTAAAAAAATATATATCTGTTGGGAGATCAGCAGATGGCGTAATGGTTAAGGTGGTGGACACTCCCATGTGGCTGACCACAGTTCAAGTCCTGGACCTGATGGCTTGCTTTCTCACTTTATCTCCCCCCCTCTTTGTGTGTGTGTGTGTGTGTGTGTGGTCAAACTAAAATATATAAATGAATAAATTTTAAAATTCTTAAAAAATATATATATATGTATATGTGTGTGTATATATATATAGGCCATCAACTCAATCTTTTATTGAATGCATTCATTATTTAATTGAGTGCCAAGTCTGGTCAAGGCAGACATTGTGAATTATTACAGATGCCAGCTTTAAAATAGTGTGCTAGCTTACTCAGTATGTATCATAATTCTTATATATGTATATTTAATTATTTATAAATTGTATTCTTAAAGTAGTCTATGACTGTAAAATACATTATAAAACATTTATAATAATAGGTACTAAGAAGATGAGGTAGAAATAAAATATTTTAACTGATTATTTTATTTATTAATGGCACAAAAATCTATTTAACCTCATTAACTATAATATTTAGAAGGAGAAATGTTACTGAATGTGCCCAATTGCTTTTAAAAATCTTTTGTTATGTACTGATTTGAAGGTCTGTTTTAAATTTAACTGTTTTCAGTACTTTGCTTGAATGGATGTCATAGATGTAAAGGATACCGTGCAAAGATATATAGACCCAAGGGCCAGCTGGTGGTGTGGTGGTTAGGTGACTAGATCCCATATGGCTGACTGCATGGTTCAAGTCCTGGACCCAGGTGTCTTGAAAGACACAGCAGGTGCGTTTATATGCAAGTCCAAAATCCAGAGAGCAGAGAAGGGAATGTGGCAGGGCCATCTTCCCATCCTGGTGGGTGATTTCTCACTTTCTCTCTGTCTCTCTCTCTTTCTCTCTGTCTGCCTCCCTCCTGCAAGCACATGTGTCCTATAGCAAAACTAAAAACAAAACTTAAAACAAAAATAGTCAGATCCAAATAAAAATAATGTATCATTGTGCAAAATAAATTAGAAAAACCATTTCAAAAATTCCTTCCATCAGTTATACAAAGGTTTTATTCTGAAATTTGGCTAATAAATTTTCATTTTACCTGATGTCAA